CCCTCACTTCCTGTCAGAGCCCATGGATGTGGATCTGTTTCACCTTGACCAAAGGTCAGAGAGTTCAGGCCTATTATTGCTTCTTCAAGGTTATGACAGGAGGTTTGACCCAGGCAGTAGCTGCCTCTAGGATGCTTAGCCTAAGGTGTGGCCACTGAATGTCCTGCCGAAACAACAGGATACTTAACTCAAGAAACAGCCACTCAATGTTTCAAGTATTGAAGAGGTAATTACTTTGCTTGTCCGTTGTTTGTATCATGGTAAATAAGTCTTGCCTCTCCCCCCCCCCCGCCCGCTTTGTGATTGGGGTATATAAAACATATGGAAAATAAACACGGGTGAATTCAGTATTCACTGGGTTGCCCTCCTGACTCTATTCTGTGTTTCTGTCCTTTTCTTTTGTATCTCTGTTAGTTCTGCCTAACATTTCTAATCCATACGCCCCTATCCTGGAACGTAGGAGCCCAACAACTTCCTTTGTTTCAACCTTGTACAACCAACTTTTTGTAGTTTGAATGGTCTAATGAGTGTGTCCATTGTGTGGTTTGTTAGTAGCTGTACCAGCATCAGAGCCTTGGAGAATAATAGAGGCTCATATGGCTGAAGTTTCAGAGTAAGGACATTTGCAGCAGCCTTGAAGGGCTCTGCCTTTATCTGTACACCCTGACTGTAGACACATTTGTATGCATTCTTGCAAGCTTTCTAGACTGCTGCTCTATATGCTACTAGGCACAGCAAAAATCTCTTGATTTTGCTCTCAGGGTGTCTGGGGTCGCCACTAGAGTCGTCTGTCTACCTCCTCTTGCTTACTGTGGAGTACCTGTTTTCTCTGAATTAAAATACCTTCCTTTGGGAAGGTTCATAAGGATTAAAAATTATAAATAAAAGTTAAATATTAAAATTGTTAATTGTTCTTCTTTTCATTATCCAATGTTCTTTATTTTGATTTAATAATTTACAGTTTGTTGGTTGTTTTGAGCAAAGCAGAAGACAGTCTTAAAACATGGAAATGGCTGTGATCCCATCTTCTCTTTAGCCCCAGTCCTTTTAGGGAAATGTTTTCTAGTAACTGGAAATGGGATCAGTTACAGTGCATAGTGTGATGTGTTCTAGGAAAAGAAAAGCAAAAGCTTTCTATACACCCCAGCTCCCTGTGGCTTTCTCTGTGCTCCATGCTCTTCACGTTGACCATTCTTCCCTAAGGCTGGGTGACGTTTTCAGGACTTTGGCCTTTCAATGGTTTGGAAATTTTGCTGAATTTGTGCGGTAACCTATGTTCTCATCATTGTGTGTGTGCGTGCTTTAGGAGAATTCAGTCGCGGTTATAATAATGATCCTTTGTGTTTTCAATTTGTCGTTATTTAAAAAACAATTTCTAAAATTGTGATAAAAGAAAACAATAGATTTTTCTTTAAAGTTATTTTAAAATAATTATAGGATAAAAATGTAGGAGCCAGCGAGAGAACTAACAGAGTTTGGTCTCTGACCACGGTAGAACTCCAGCCCTTAGGAAACTGAAGCAGGTGACTCATAAGTTTGAGGCTAGTCTAAGCTTCAGGGTGATACCTGCCTCAAACCAACAGGAAAGTGTTGTTTAGGCAAGCTCTTGCCCAAAGTGACTAAAATCAAGAGGCTTCCTGACACTAACTGGATGTGTTCTAGTCTTGGTCTCTACTTTTATTCTTTTTTATGACTTTTGTTTCAGACAGAGACCTATTTTTTTTTCTAAGGTTGGGGTGTTAGAACCAAGAGGAAAATTATAACTGGCCCGCCTGCCGAAGTTCATAAATAAAGTTTAGATTATTCTAAAGAGACCTTTGTGTTTCACTTCGGCTAACAACTATTTAAACATCGTTCCCCAAAGAACTTCCGTTTTTGCAGGAACATCCTGCTGGTGGAAGCAAAAATCCCAGAGCCTTCCAGAGGACAATTCAGCTCCAAAGTGAGAGCATTTTCAGCCTTTGGAACCAGTCAATCCTGAGAGAGATTTTTCAGAGTCCCAATCACGTCTCTGATAATTAAGTCTCGTTAAAGGAGCTCAAGTGGGAGGTATGATGGCATGGGAGGAAGTTTTCTCAACAGAGGCCATACGGGTTCTAGGCAGGGCAGACAAAGGTTCTCACTAGGGATAGGAAAATGTTTCCATTAATCACTTGTCACGGAGATGGCAGAGTCACCTGACATGTGCCATAGGGAGGATTTAGAATTTACCATAGAGATGAAGACAGAATTACATATTTGGTGTCGTGCTCTTTAGTGGCAATGATGATTATGGTAACCATCTAAATAAAAACAGGAAAAAGGAATTTACATAGACATTCTTGTAGAAGAAGCACATGAACTTATGACTGACATCAGGGAAATAAAACTCAACACCATGAGTAACCACTTCACACCCATTGGCTAAAATAAGAAGCGACAAACCACACAGTGAGAAACTAAAACTCATACCTTGGTGGTGGGAGTGTGAAATTGCGTAGAAGCTTTTAAACTCATTAGGTAGTTCTTCAAAATGTTAAATGTAGAATTGCCATATGACCCAGAAATTCCATTCCTTGGGCTATATTCGGGGTTATTCCAAGAAATCGTATGTCTATCCATAAATGTTCATTGTAAACTTAAGAGTAGATAAAAGGTAAAAACAATCTAATGCTGGCCAATGGAATAAAATTTATTATAGACAATATTGTTAATAATATCTTTAGCGAGGAAAAGAAATGAATGGCTGACAAGTGATGCATTGACATAGCACAGAAAACCCAAGAAAGTTAGGGAGACTCAGGAAAGAAAAGAAGTCCTTCACCCCAAGTCTGATTGAAGGTCTTATCAGCACAGATAACACTTCCTGTGAAGGTTGGCAGGATACACACAGTACTCCTTCTATACAGAGATAGTTCAAATGAGAATGTTAAAACAGCCATCATGTTTTAATCTAAGCATGCATGGTCTTCCTCCTCTTCTAGGTATAAACCTGCAGTATCCTAGGAATCTTTCAAGAAACCTTATTTGTCTAACAGCTTTGTAATCCATGCTTTTATCGTCCCATAATACGGTTCTCTTGTAAGGCATCCCTAAAGTCAGGCTCAGGTATGAAAACAAGGTAGGTAGATCTTTAGTGTGGGGGTAGAGGGAATTTGCTATAGTCTTGCGGGTTACAAGCCCCAAAGAGAAACAATATGGTAGATTTTGCCTTCAAATGATTCTCCAGGTGGGAGAAGAATGAGAACCATGTGCCACCAAGCAGAAAGCACAGTGAAAATGATGTCAATGATTTGCTTAAGAAAGACGAAGTAGATGGCAAAGATCTGTGGGGTCTGTGCTCATAAGAGTGAGCATTGTGTTATGGGCAAGCAAGCCCATCTTCTGACAGACTACACATGGAAAATGAAAGAAAATAAAAAGGCCAGAGCGTTCCAGCCAGGAAGAAAAAACAACATGGCTTCTTGTTAGAAGATGTAGAGAAAGATGGCAGGGAAGACTCTGGAGGGAGTAGGGGTGAGGAAGAAGAACAGAGCAGGAAGAAGACACTGTGTCAGGGGATACAAGGACAAAGAGGGACAATAGCTATGAGCCAGCTGCATCAGTGATATAGGACCAAAGTGAAAAGTGTCCCCAGGAACACAAGACAGGATGTGATCAGAAGTTGTGTCAGAGCAGAGGAACTAGAGAAACCCTAGGGACAAGGAAGGTTGAAAGCCCCTTTGGTTGGAGAACACAGGGTGACTGAGGAAGCAGATGCTGCACTGCACGTAAATGACCTAACCCTTCCCTCAAGCTAGATGAGAAAGAAAGCCTCAAGTTGACATACCTTCAGCTGCTGTCACTTCCTGCTGGGTCAGGGGTTAGAAGACAAGAGGTGCGAGCAGCCTCTGTGGAAACATGGAGCCAAGCCACAGAAAATGAGTGTCCTGGAGAAGCCAATGGCACCAGGAACCTTCTGAGAAGAAGAGATTGGTGGAAAGCTGGTCATCCATAAGCCAGGAAGGAGAGCATGTGGAGAGGAAGGCTTTCTAGGCCGAGTGTGCCACAGGGAGTGGGGAATTGAGTGAGCTCTTGGGCTCAGCAAATAAAACCTTGAATCTTAAGGAGAACTAGATTGTGCTCCTGTAGATGGTGTGAGCTAATCATGTTTGTGTCTGTCAAGTCTTTAGTGGTCCTGTTTCCCAGCAAGGCATCTTCCTATGGTGAAGTTCTCCTTATGTGTCTTGGTCTCAGCTTCATTCATTGTAGTACTAATATCTTCTCCTTAAATAAATAAATAAATAAATAATTGAACCTCTATTAAATAAAAATGGAAAAGTGGGGGGGGGGTCCTAGCAGTTTTGTAAGATCTAACTTTTGAGAGCCACCAAAGCCACGTGCTCTCCCTTGAGACACTTGCATGCTTAGGTGTGTCTCATCTTACTAGGCCTCCTTTTGCGTGTTACTTATGTTTAAATATATAGGTGGTTGCTTCTTAATAAATCCAGCTCTACTTCATACTAGCTCGTCCTGAAGTCCCTTTTTGCGGCAGAGTCAAAAATTGTAGGTTCACCTGAGTTGAGGTCTCTGAAAAGAACTCAGTCCCTGCAGGAGGCCTTGTGTAGCACGAATGTGGCCTGTGCCCCAGTCCTGGATGCCTTGAACCCTTATGCTAAGCCTTGGAAAAATCAGGCTCATAAGAGGACCTCACAGAACCTCACATTTCATTCACAAGAAATGCTTGTGCCTGGGAAATATAGGCAGAAAAAGGACAGCTGTTTTTCCTCCAGAAAAGAAGGGTGGGGGTGGGAAATGAATATCGATAATAGGCACCCCGCTCCCCGCTCCCTGCTCCTCGCCCCCCTCCCCTGCGCGTGCCCCCTGCCCCAGGGAGCTGTTAAAATCCTGGTAAACCTCCTCCCCTTCCTCCTCCCCCAATCCCTCCCCTATCCCCTCCCTCCTCCTCCCCCTCCCCTCTCCCTTCTTCTCCTCTCCCACAAATACTTTCATTTTCATTTGCCTATCCTCTTCCCTGCAGAGGCCAGAGAAAGCAGCTGTTAGTCTCCCAGCCCTCCCTCAGAGAGCTCGAACAAGAAATCCCAGGCAGTGTGGAGTCGGCCAGGCTGCTCATCTAAACCAGCAGGACATTCAGGCTGCAAAAGCTGCATTGAGAGGCCTCTAAGGTGCTAAGTGAAGGCTCCTGTCTCAGGCTGGGACCCTGGGAACCACAGAGGTGAGCGAGGTTTACAAGGTCCAGATTGAGTTCAGGAGGGAAGCCCAGGATTGCAGAGTTAGGAAAAGAGTAAGCAGGTGGTGTTTGTTACTCCCAAATCCGCTAAGTCCCCCCAAAAGCCAACAAGGAGACCGAGTCCCCATATGTAAAAACAAAGAGCCTTTATTTTATGCAAGTTTGCAAACTCGGTCTCTCTGCGTGTCCGACGTATTGGAATAAACAGAGAGCCCCGATCTCATTTAGAGTTGGGTTTTTTTTTTTTTGTTTTTTTTTTTTTTTTTTTTTTGTTTTTTTCGAGACAGGGTTTCTCTGTGGCTTTGGAGCCTGTCCTGGAACTAGCTCTGTAGACCAGGCTGGTCTCGAACTCACAGAGATCCGCCTACCTCTGCCTCCCGAGTGCTGGGATTAAAGGGTTTTTATAGTAGTAAAGGTGGGGAAGAGGGTTTCTGAGGTTCAGGACCCCTGATTGGCTGACATTTGTCTAGGGGTGTCCTGGTGAGTGTGTGCTGGCTGGTGATCCTATCTACAGCAGTTGGAACGTTAGGCATTTCCTTTGGATGGTCTGTTCTTGAGTGGTGCTCAGGTAATCTAGTTTATGGTCCTTCCTGAAACCATGTATTGCTTCAGGGTGAACTACTGAGACTCGGGCCTCTATTAAACTTATTGATGGCTGAGTCCTACACTGGCAGGTGATAATGATTGGAAGTAAAGAACTTCCTTTGGGTGATCTGTTCATATTTAGCTTATCATGGCTGGCTCCTACAGCATTGATGGACATTTAAAAGGTGATCTTTAGAAAACCCGAGCTGGCCAATGGCAGCGAGGCTGGTCCTAGGGCTGGTGTCCTAGAGCTGCCTTTGCCTCTCCTCAACCATGGCTTCAGGGGTCAGCAGCATCCTTCTTTACCTGCCTCTTTCCTGCTTCCTTTCAGGTTCTACTTCCCTAGACATTTGACTGCTGCTGCTCTCTCCTGGCGGATCTAAAACATGTGTCTGTCCTACTTCTGGGTCCTTTAAAATGAGCAGTCTCTAGAGGAAGTTGAGCACTCCTCATTTCCACTTATAAAATAATTTACTCCGTGTTGATAAAGCCCCCTTTATCCAGAGCCCCCAATATCCAGAGCCCCCGTTATCCAGAGCATGCTTCCAGGTGCTTAAAATCAGGGTGCCAAACATCTCTCCGGCCTTCAGAGAGCTCTGGGTGTGGTGGAGACCACAGTCAGGAAGAGACAGAGTGCACTTGAGAGGGGTGAAAGGACTGGGCGGGAGCAGCTGCCCTATCTTAGTAGAGCAGAGGTCCTGAGGTTGTCCTGTCCCAGTGAGGGAGGGAAGGGGTGAGTAGTTTGAACTCAGTGACAGTTGCCGGGAAGATGACCTTCTAGATGGAATAAACAGTTCTTCAAGACTAGAAACAACTTTAAAAGACATCAGGATGGGCAGGCGTCTAGTGGTCACAAGCAGATTTAGATGAGAGAACCCTCCAGAAGGGAAGTCATTGAAATAAAGCAGCCCCACCTTTCCTGAAGGGAGTTAAGGGGAGGAGTCACAGGATCTAGGCACAGTCCCAGGATGCTGTGTCCTTCTGTCTGGGGAGTAGGAAGAAGTATGGGTTGTGCTGTTCTGAGACTCCCTGTGCTATTTGATCTGCATTTAAGCACAATAGAAAAAAAATGCTGGAACTCACTAAGGTCATATGACAGCGAGAGCACAGCCATTGGATGTACAGGGACTCAGATTGGGGTTATTGTGCCTGGGGCAGTCAGATAGTTTGAGCCAAACTGTGTATTCACCTGGGAGAGAGGCAAGCTTTACAGAGAAACAGCCTAGGAGCCACCCCCTGATCTAAGGCCACCCGAGCAGGCACTGCAGGTGGACACCTCCTGCTGCACAGCAGAGCTAATGACACCAGCCTGTCTTAGTGTGTTGTTCAGCCTCTCGGTGTCTTTCCTGGAGCAACTGTAAATGCAGAGGCACTGTCTGGTGCACACCCGGACATCTCAGAGTCTTCGCAGGCAGACACAGAACGCAGCTTTGCTGAAGTCAGGCTAGAAGACCTGGATGCTCATGGCTGTCTTCTTCTTCCCTTCCACTACTCTTCCTCCTCCTCTTTAGCCTCAACTCCACCATCTTCAGAGAGAGGATCTGGACTGTATGGAAGGAGACTAGAGTCCCTCTCTCTCAGCTGTGTCCTGTGTGTGCCGTCCTGAAGATCTGACCTTCTACCTACACATATGGGACAGATGCTAGTTTGGTCTGCTGCTGTGACCACACCTAGATAATAACCTTAATATTGGAAGGACTGTGACTGAGAAAGAATTTGTAAAATCCAATTTTAAGTACTTAGGAGCTTTGAAATGAGAACCAAGAGTAGAGTCCCAGATTGCCCCTGGCCAGATCAGGGAACCTCCAGCGCTGCACTGAGTACCATTTCTCCTTTGCCTCCAGATTCTGCATCATGAACACTCTGTCTGAAGCAAACGGCACCTTTGCCATCCACGTTTTAAAGATCCTTTGTCAAAACAACCCTTCGAAAAATGTATGTTACTCTCCTGTGAGCATCTCCTCTGCTCTAGCTATGGTCCTCTTGGGGGCGAAGGGAGACACTGCAGTCCAGATATCTCAGGTAAGTTCCCTGTCACCTGACACCTGTTTCACTTGCCTAAGAGTTGCTGAGAAGGGAGGGTCAGCCTATGCACACCCTGTTTCATGGGGCAGGGGCTAAAGAGGATGGGACAATGAGTTTCCCTCAGTAATAACTTAAAGAAACTCTCAAAATTTTGTCCAGACTTCACTTAGAAAATGGGGTGTAAATAATTTCACGCTAGACCTGGTGGCCTTTAATTCTAACTACTAAGGAGACTGAAACAGGAGGATGCAAGTTCAAGACTAGCGTGGGCAACTTAGTTTCAAATAAGAAAGAGTTTTTTAAAAAGTGGGGGCAGCCCCAAGTACAGCGATGGGAAAAAAGGAGGAGATTATTTGAAACATAGGTTGCTAAGATCTATTTTTAGAGCAGCAGACTTTGTAATTATTCATTGGCCAATAAAGGTTAATTCCTCTCTTAACTGTGTCCAACCTGCCTTGCATCAGCTGAGATACTGACTGGGCAAATGTGTGTGGCTGGTCCTCATCCTGACCAGGCACTGCGTTGGTCGCTTTATGAAGCATCCTATAAGCATTGCAGGTGATGAAGGATGGGTCTCTGACCTCAGGGGTTCCAGGGCAGGCAGGAGGTATTGGCCTGAGGAAAAGCCCTCTGCTTGACTGTCACAGCGGGAAGCAGTCACTGTTGCTCTGAGGTTTGCCAGAATTTTCTTTCCCATGAAGAGCCTTTCAGGTATAACTGCTCATTTTTATCATTTCCAAATGTAGTGAGGGCATGAGAACATGAATACGATAATGTAGAGGGGTCTTCTTCATAATTATTCTCTCTAGTCTTTTAACAAACACAGAGAGATTGTGCATGCACATAGCAGGTATACGTGTGCAAGTGTGTGTACGCACGTGTGTGTATGTGTGTTTACATGCCCATGTGTGCTTCTTTAGGCAGAGGACAGGAGTAAATGCAGGTGTCTTCTTACCCCAGCGCTGGGATTACAGCCATACACTATGGAACCCATCTTTTTATGTGCATAGTGAGATCCAGCTCAGAGCCTCATGTACTTCGCCCCCTGAGCCATCCCTTCAGCTTGCAAGCTCCTCTTTGCTACCAAAACGTTTCACCACTGCGCTCATAATGTTTCATTCTTTTCCTTCGCAGGCACTTGGTTTAAACACAGAGAAAGACATTCATCAAGGCTTCCAGGAGCTTCTCAGTAATCTGAACGAGCCCAGCAGAAAGTACTTGCTTAGAACGGCCAATAGGCTCTTTGCAGAGAATACCTGTAAAATCCTCCCAGTAAGTTCTGTCAGTAGAAGGATATCAATTGTATTTAAAATACTTGTTGATGTAGATCCCAGGAGAAGGAACCTAGAGAACTTGAGAAAATTAAGGATCAAGTTCTAGTCAGTGTGATGACCCACATCTAAATACCTGAGACAGGAGGATCACAAGTTTTAGGCCAGCCTTGGCCAAATAGTGAAACTCAACTACTCGACTCCTTAAACTTCCCCCCAAAGACCACAGTTCTATAATGATACTTTGAAGTATTTCAAATTTGACTACTTGTTATTTTTATTCAATTATGTCTGGTTATTGCCATGTACGAAGACTTAGATATTTGCTGCTTAAAGTGACATCTATACTCACTTTAGTTTTTTCTTGTTTTGTTTTGTTTTTGACATATTATCAGAGGGTTTGGAAGCTTGCAGACACTTTATTTTCCAATGTTAATTTTCTGAACATTTTCTCTCCAAAGTCCTATAAGGAGTCCTGTCTCCAGTTCTATCACTCGGAGCTGGAGCAGCTGTCCTTTGCCAAAGATCCAGAGGAGTCCAGGAAGCACATAAACACATGGGTCTCCAAACAGACTGAAGGTCAGAATTTCAAGTTATTTCACACCCCACAATTTTCTCCTTTCCATCCACCCCTTCCTCTTCTTCCTTCCCTGTTCTTTCTCTTAACTTCCCTTCTCCCCCATGGACTAATTGCATGTTATTTCACGGAGTCAAAGGGATGCAGACTAACATCTTTATATGTGGTATAATTCATGGAGGTTTTATTCAGAAACTTAGATTTGAACAATAGAGTTATTTGTATATTTCTTCAAGACAGGGCAATGATACAAATGTCACGAGAACTCATGGGCCTGATTTCCAGTCTAACAGCTTAGATTAGAAGACGGGGTGGTCTGCAGTGTTGGCAGGTCAGATGACTCCACCGTGGAGATTCATGTGGAGGCCATCCTCATAATTCTTCCATGGGCTCCTTCTTCCTACGGTCTGTGTTGCCCTGGCCCCCACTATCATTATGTAGAAGAGGATTTCTGTTTCTGATTCCACCCTTCCTGCCTCAGATCCCTCGCTTACATTTGGTAAAACTAAACTTGATTTCCTCTCAGGGCCGCTCCGTTCCATTGATTGGCCTACAAGAACCTCCCATTTGAGGTTGAACCCTATTTGTTTTTTTTTTTCAGAGATGATATGTTCCAGCATTAGTCTTTGAAATCATTGAAATCACTGTCTGATAGTTGAACCCATCAGATGCCTATGTACCACTGGATACATTCCTATTTCTACTAACAGAAAGTATAAAATGAGATTTTTTTTTCTTTGATTTTCAAGACAGGGTTTCTCAGTAGCTTTTTGGTTCCTGTCCTGGAACTAGCTCTACTAGACCAGGCTGGCTTCAAACTCACAGAGAACCACCTGCCTCTTCCGCCCGAGTGCTGGGATTAAAGGCATGCGCCACCACCGCCCAGCTAGATTTTTTTAAAATAAAAACTCAGCAATTATTTGACAATTCTTGTTGTAGTCTTTACCTCTTGTGCACTCTTGACAATGTAAGTTAGCGAGGATTTTCTTCTCTACTGAAAGGATGCTCCTTAAGACAGAAGAAGGGAATCTGTCCTCTGACCTGCATCATCTCCCCTAGGATGGAGGGCACTCCAAAGTATATGAACAATACCTCCTCCACAAACTACCTTTTGTCCTTGAGTCTCTGACGTGTCGTGCTATGGCATGACCATGGAGCATTCGATGAGATACTGTATCTAACATTAGTCAGATTATTCTAGGGGAATAGAATGAATACATATTACTAAGGGGATTTAGTAGATTGGCATATACAATACAGACTGTATAGTCTAACAATGGCCATCTGCATGTAGAGGCCGAGAATCTGGTAGCTGCTCAGTCTATGGGATTGGAGACCTCAGCAGCCTCAGTTTGGAATGGAAAGCCTAGAGGATTCCAGAGAGGCACTAGTCTTGGTCCACATGAAGACCAAAGCTACTATTAGCTGAAAATGGCAGGTGCAGAGGTGTGAACAGTGCAGACGCACTCACCAGCGAGGGCTGAAGGCAGGCAGGCAAAAGCAGTGCTGCTTCTCCCTCAGTTCTTTAGTCGGGGCAGCACAGGAAGGCATTGCCCACTCCATTACTTACTCTTTCTGGGAGATGTCCTTGTCGACCTGCCCAGAGACATGTCTCTTAGTTGACTCCAGACCCAATCAAGTCGTCAGCTGACATTGGCACCCAGGGGGAGCCCTGGTCCCCTGCAATCCCTTCCACATCTCCTGCTTCTTTGTTCTCCACCCTGAAGTGCCTTTCTCTGCTTTTCCCAAACCTGCTTTCCTTGAGGGACTTGGAAGTCCTTCAGCACCCTCACCTGGGTCATGTGACTCCCATGGCCATGACGTCAAGTCAAACATGGGTGTTGATATGTTGTTTTGGCTTTTTTTTTCATGCTCATCCACATTCAGCAAATTTGAAAGCATGATGCTCGAATCTGCCCAGATGTCACATCAGCTTATTTCTCACACGTATATAAAATGAACCTGAATGAAGTCTCTGCTTTCTCAAAAGGGAAAATTCCAGAGTTGCTGTCAGGAGGCTCAGTTGATTCAATGACCAGGCTGGTTCTTGTCAACGCATTATACTTCAAAGGAAAGTGGGATCAAAAGTTTAACAAAGAAGACACAATAGAAGTGCCCTTTAAAATTAACAAGGTAAGGAGCAGGATAAAAATTCATGCCACTGTGACGAAGAACCTGCATGGTAATGTGTAACTGTGAATGTGTAGCTCTGGGACTCAGTGGCAGAGACTGCATGTCCTGTGGGCTGCTGGGCTCGATCCTCAGTCCAGAAAGAAAGAGCATAGGAAAGCACAGAAAATGTTTGAAACTGAAAGAAATGCTAGCTCCATTGAAAAATGATAAGAATAAAGAATATTTAATACTTGTGTTATTTTACATTGTTTCTGGCTCTTACGTATTCTGATAAATCCTCATAAAATCATTGCTTCTAACTCACTCTAGAAACTAAATTTTCCTGTAAGTTCAAGAAAACAGAAACTTATGTGTTAAGGTACAATAATGCATGTATGGATCGTGAGGTAGAGTAGAAAGGAATATACAAACATTTATGTAATAGAGTAATTTTTAATTAAAATAATCGTTTTAAATTATTGGTCAATTTATCATTATTTAACACTATAGCATTTTAATATTGAAATTGAGTGATTAAGATCTCCATTTTAATTAGAGTATAATTTGAATTAAAGTAGATATTAGAATACTTTTCCCAATCCCTATAAAATATAATTTAATGCCGTTTGAAGTGTTATGAATGTTAACCTGAGAGCTGTAAGAGCAAAATGAACCCTTTCTTCCTTGTGTTGTTTTGGTCAAGGTGTTTTATCACCACTGTAGAATCCTATCTACAATAGTCCCCTATCTGCTTACACTCGATTTCTTAAATGAAACCAGGAAGAGGCTGGCAGACATTGACTAAGTGTTCACTGGACTATGAATAGTGTTTTCATTGTGGTGCTGAGAACACTGCTGACATTAACTTCAGCTCATCTGGAAACCTTCTGACCTCTCTCAACAACATCTTTTATGCTTTGGATTCTTCTGTACAGAATGAGGAAAGACCAGTGCAGATGATGTATCAGGAAGACACATTTAACCACGCCTACGTGAAGGAAGTACAGGCACAGGTGCTGGAGATACCCTATGAGGGCCTGGAGCTGAGCTTGTTGGTCCTGCTCCCGGATGATGGTGTGGACCTCAGCCAGGTGAGGCAGGAGAGTCCTTAGCAGTCACCACTCTAAATGTCTCCTAGAAGAATCCAGGACCGCCATTATCCTTCCTTATTAGAACAGAACTCATTGTTTTTACCTTTCCAACTGCCATTTGAGCAAGTGGTATTCCCAGACTGAGCCTCAAGCTCTGTGCAGTTTCTATGTTTGGGGACCGCCCCCCATTGTGGGCAGTGTGACCTTGTCATATGACATAACTTCATCACTAGAACAGAAGATGGTACCTGATAGGATGAAATGGGGGCAACTCGAGCAAGAAACTTAACACAGTGCTTAGAAAATAGTCCCTCTCTGTAAATAGAATGGCATGGTGGTCTTTGCCAGTGTTTTAATGTCTGAGAACATAAAACAGACAGAAAAAGTATTGCAGTTCACCTGAAGATAGAGGACGAGGAGAGGTGCCAGCTGGGCAGGACAGAGTCAGGCACACCATAATGGCGCATCTTGGTCTTCCTTGCAGCAGGGTACCCCACAGTCTGTCATCCATCCTCTGAAAGGAGGGCAGGGCAGTGTGCATGACCCAAGGAGTCTATGTAAGCAGAACAGCTCCCTTGGCTCTTCTCATCCAGCTCCCTAGCTGTGGCATCGCTTCTCTGGTGTTAGTTTTTCATCACTGACAAAAATGCCTGACATGAATAACCTAGGAGAGGAAGCATTTATTCAGGCTCACGGATTCAGAGGACCATTTTAAGTTACCTGGCACATTCTTGGTTTCCACGGTAACAGGTGCATGTGGCAGAGATTTCAGACCTTTTAGTGAACAGGAAGTGGAGAAAGGAGAAGAGATATGGACTGAGGACCAAGGATGACCTTCATGGGCACACTTCCAGTAACTACTTCCTTCAGTCAGCTAGAGCCCTCATGCATACATTATAGAATCCTCCGAAAATGTTGTTACCAGCTTCAGAATAAGAATTCACTATGTGAGCCTTTAGATGGAATATCTCATTAAAGCCGTAACAGTTCACAAAATACATAGCATCTCAACCTGGATAGACCTTCCTTCTGGTGTGGCTCACACCAAAAGTCTTTTTCAAGTTTTATTTTATTATTTTTGTTTTAGCATCTGTGGTTTATTGCCTTCACAACTAGGTCTAGATCAAGAGAACAAAAGCAAATACAACTTAAACCATAAACACCTGGACACAGACGCCTGTCAGAATAAAAGATATCTTGGAAGGGATTTAGGAGAGGATAGCCAAGTCTACCTACCTCTGGGCTGTTGGCCTCCATGCCCACCAGGGAAGTCACATGCAAGCTAGCTAGATAGTTGGACACTCACACTGTCTGGCCCTGTGAATAGGCAGTGCCCCAAGTAGGATGACAGAGGGTTCTGTGAGCAAGAAGTTATTATGAACCTCTGGGTAAGACCTCAACTGTGAATCTGACAGTCTCTAATTCTATTTTATCAGGTGGAAAACGGTCTCACTTTTGAGAAGTTAATGGCCTGGACCAAACCAGGCTTTATGAAAAGCACTGATATTGAGGTTTTCCTTCCAAAATTTAAACTGCAAGAGGATTATGACATGGAGTCTGTGTGTCAGCACCTGGGAATGGTGGATGTCTTCCAAGGCAGCAAGGCTGATTTATCAGGAATGTCTCCAGAGAGAGACCTGTGTGTGTCCAAGTGTGTTCACAAGTGTGTTATGGAGGTCAATGAAGAAGGCACCGAGGCTGCAGCAGCTTCTTCAATGATAGTTCAAGCTTGCTGCGCCGCCATTGTTCCAACGTTCCGTGCAGACCACCCCTTCCTTTTCTTCATCAGGCACAACAAAACCAATAGCCTCCTGTTCTGCGGCAGGTTCTCCTCTCCATAGAGGCCCAGGTACCATGTGGGGAACAATTATCTCTTCAGTATCTCCGCCGCTCGTACAGCTCTGTGAGGATGATGTCTGAGGGACACCAAGTCCCAAGCTGAGGGCACTTTCCTCCCCTGCCCGTCTCATCTTACAATGACAGCTTTAGTCCCCCCTCTCCCGACTTTCATCTGTGCCCTTTGGTTTTTGTTATGGGAACAACAAAGAAGGCAAACTAATCCCACAAGATAGCCTATCAAGTTCTCTAAGGTGACCCTAAACAAACACCGCCACTTTCTGCAAGACAAGCCATGCCAACTATATAAGCTGTGCTTTCCTGGCTCCTCACCTCTTGCCATCGCTTGCCTTAACCTGCTTGCATCCTAGTAAATGCTTCTGTGGATGATGACGGCTACTGCAGTTTTCCTAGTGAGTGGTCCTTAATGCACATTGTAACTTTAGTTGCTTTGCTGTTTGCTGCTCACCAGGTCTATGCCCACCACTGTGTTAGGCTTGGGGGTGTGTGCGGACAGTGTGGTCCTCAATTGATAACCTTGAATATCTGCTTTCAACTTATCTATCTAGCTGTCATGACAGCTAGCTTGAACTACTACATGTTCCCTTGCAGAAGTCATGCTTCTGTAGACTATTGTCTTTCTCCCTCACTATCTATTATAGTTAAATTCTATGAAATCCTTAAATGCTATTTCAAAATAAATTTATTTTTCTCACCAACCATGTATGCATTTTGAACATTAATTGGACCACTTAGAGTTTTTGCTTTATCTGTTAGCTTTCTGCATCTTAGAAAACCTCCCAGCTAGAAGCTATGGTCACCAAGGGCCAGGATTATCTCTTACTCTGCTGTATAGCCACTTACAGGCAGTTATAAGTGATTTCACTGTGTGTAATAATGCCATGTGGGACTGGAGAGCTGACTCAGATGTTTTGGCTTCTACTGGCTCCTGTATGCATATAGTGTATGTATCCTTACTCAGACTCCTGGATCCTATATACATATAGTACAGATTCCTGGATCCTGTATACATGTAGTACATGATCTTCAGTCAGACTCCTGGAACCTCTATGCATATAGTGCATGTATCTTCACTCAGACTCTTGAATCCTGTATACATATAGTGCATGTATCCTTACTCAGACTCCTGGATCCTGTATATATATATAGTGCAGACCCCTGGATCCTGTATACATATAGTGTATATAACTTCACTCAGACTCCTGGGTCCTGTATGCATATAGTGCATTTATCCTCACTCAGACTCATACACAGGCAAGTAAATTTAAAAATAAAGAAAATTTTTAAACAAGAGTACCATAAGTTTTATTAATGGTTGGATAATATCTACTAATATGACTCTTTATGTTTATTGCAGTTATTCTTGTAACAAAATCAGCACTTTATGGGTAAGCATCCATGTCTGTCAGTGACATTCTATTATCATATTGTCATCCCCTTTCAAACACACTGTGTCACCATCAAGAAATTCCTTTCCATTCTTCCTTCTTCTGTCTGTGTAACCATCAAAGTCCCCGAGTCTGTAGGTTTACTGACTCTGAAATTTTATATAGATTGTGTCTTTGTTTTCTTCATAGTGCTCTGGATGCCCACAGATTTCTTTTTTCAGTGAAGTTCCACTCATTTCCTATTGTTTTTATCACTCAGTCTCTCTGTGCCTCAGCTAAGAATCCCACAGCCAAACTCAAGGTTTCAAAGACCTGCCCCTGTTTCCCTCCAAGGCTTTCATGGCTTGTGCTTTTATATTTAGATCACTGATCCAGTTTGAATTAAATTTTATAAAGGTTGTGAAGTAAGAGCCCAATGTGATTCTTTTGTATATGAACATCCAGTTGTCCCAGGACTTGTGATTGTTTTTGAGTTGAAGAAAAAGTATTGATGACCAAGGAAAAGAAAAAGTAATGCTTCAACTCATGGGGTAGGGTAGAAGTTACTCATTTACTTATATTGAACAACACTGTAAGACTGAAAAAAATAACGGAAATCAGTAGGACATGAACAGGGACAGATAAAAATTTCTGCAAGTTGACTCAGTAGCTGAAGGTGCTTGCTGCCATGCCTGACTGTTGAGTGATTGCTGGAATGCTCATGGAGACATAAGAGAACTGATTCCAGCAGGCTGACCTCTAACCTCACTGTGAGCACCACAGCTTGCACACACACACACACACACACACACACACACACACACACACAAATAATTACGGTAAGTCAGATAAAATGAATCAGTAAGATCATAATCAGAAAAATACACATAAAGCACCATCAGTTTCCTGTCATGAAGTTAATCTTACCAGAAGCCGGAAAGTAGGGTTCTAGAGGCCCATGGGATCATGAAAGTGGTAAGGCTAACCCACGACATACTCTGGCACTATCCTCAGTCAGCAAGTGTCATGGGTTCCAGAAGATTCACTCTAGGACGTATCCCAGTGATGTCTCACACAAGTCCATGAAAGGACAGTGAGTTGGATGCTCTCTGTTACCACATTTGTAGCAGCAAAGAATGGACCCATGTGTGCAACAAACACAGTCAATACAGAAAGATGTATACTAAATACTGAATAGGTGCCGGAAAATTGTTCCGATTGAATCACTGCTGAGTTCTTCCGGACCCTCAAAGAACTGGAACACCAATGTTCCTCAAACTATTATGTAAATAAAAAAAAGGAAGGAACTCTACCAAGCTTTTACTCAGCGCTAGCATTATCTTGATACCAAAATGAGATCAAGAGAGAAAACAGATATAAAAAAGAAAATTATGGACAAATCTCCCTTTACATAGGTGAACGCAGATGCAAAGAAAAACAAAACAAAAAACAAACAAAACAACAAAAACCTGAACAAAATCCTTGCAATCAGGAAATATCAAGAAGACCATTTATAGGGATTAGCAGGTTTGTTCCAGAGATTGGTGATGGTATTCTGCTTAGTTTGCTTCAACTTGACAGAAACCAGAATCACCCAGGAAGAGGGACCCTCAGTTGAAGAATTACCCCCATCAGATAGGCCTGTGAGCTTCTCTGTTGGACATTTCCCCTTTTTAAAATCGTTTCTATTGAGTTATTGAGCTGTATATATTTCTGTCCACTCCCCTCAGTGTCTACCCTCTCCCATGATCCCCACAATCCCAATTCACTCAGGAGATCTTGTCTTTTTCTACCCTCACGTATATTAGATCCATGTATGTCTCTCTTAGGGTCCTCTTTGTTGTCTAGGTTCTCTGGGATTGTGAATTGTGGGATGGTTTTTCTTTGCTTTCTGTCTGAAAGTCACTTATGAGTGAGTACATATGTTATTTGTCTTTCTGGGTCTGGGTTACCTCACTCAATATGATGCTTTCTAGATATATCCATTTGCCCGCAAATTTCAAGATGTCATTTTTTTTCTACTATGTAGTACTCCAATGTGTAAATGTACCACATTTTCCTTATCCATTCTTCAGTTGAGGGGCACTTAAGTTGTTTCCAGGCTCTGGCTATGACAAATAATGCTGCTATGAATATAGTTGAGCACATGTCCTTGTGGTATGATTGAGCATCCTTTGGGTATATACCCAAAAGTGGTATTGCTGGGTTTTGAGGTGGGTTGTTTCCCGATTTTCTGAGAAATTGCCATAGTTATATCTGAAGTGGTTGTACCAGTTTTCACTCCCACCAGCAATGGAGGAGTGTTCCTTTTACCTCTACGGGACATTTTCTTAATTAAAAATTGATGTGGGAAAGCCCAGAGCACTAGGGGACATGCTACCCCTGACAATGTGGTCCTGGATTGTATAAGAAAGCAGGCTTAGTCAGCTATGGGTAGCAAGCCAGTGAGAAGCTTGGCCAGTCATGGGGAACCAGCCAGTGAACAGTGTCCCCCATTGTTTCTGCTTCAGTTCCTGTCAGAAGAAACTGCTTTGAGCTTCAGTCCTGGCTTCTCTTATGATGTAACCATGTAACCTATGAACTTAAATAAGTTCTTTCCCCCAAATTGCTTGTGGTCAGTGCTTTATCAAAGCGACAGAGAGCAAGCTAGAGCAGGTAGTTCAATACATTCAAATCAACAGCTATAATCCATGACATAAATGGACTCAGGGACACAATCATGTGATCATCCGGATAAATACAGAAAAGGCTCTTGACAAAAACCTATATCCCTTCATGATAAAAGTCCTGAAGAAGCACGAAATAAAGGAAACATATCAGAATATAATAAAGCCTATATCTGCTGGACATGTAGCTAGTATTATGCTTGAGAATCTTAATAATAGTATAGGAAAAAGTATTTATACTCAAATCAGGAAAATGATGAAGGTGTCCACTTGCTGCATCATGCCAATGCAGTGTTGACAATACTAATAAAGCAATAAAAGACAATCAAATAGAAAGGCCATAAATATGAAAGAAAGAAGTCAAAGTATTATTATTTGCAGATGAAATGATTCTGTGTGAAAGAGATCCTATAGAATCCACTAGAATGTTCTTTTTTAAACTTGTTCATTGTTTGTAGGTGCATGAGTGTTTTACCTGCATGTATGTCTTTGCACCAAGTATATGCCTGGTAGATTCCCTGGGACTGCAGTTACAGACAGTTATGAGCTACCATGTGGGTGATAGAAATCAAACCTGGGTCCTCTAGAAGAGTATCCGGCATTCTTAATCATTGAGCAATCTCTTCGGCCCCCAAATAATTCCTAGAGCCTGTGCATACTTTCAACAAAGTGGCAGATTAAGAAATTCGCATAGAAAATCAGCATCGTAACAAACATGCTGAGGGAAAAACCAAGCCAAGGATCCCATTCAAAACTGCCTAAGAAAATGACTCTGAATAAGCCCAACGGAAGACGTCAACAACCTCTCTAACGAAACCTTTAAAATACTCCAACGGGAAACTGAAGGAGACACTAAAGATGTCTAGTACTCTTTCAGGCTCTTTGGGAGCGTCTACAGTGTGGAATGTTCATCTCCTCTAGGATTTATTATGTCCAGATAGGTTTCTTTTATTTTGTGTTTCTTCGGGACTTCTTCATGTAGAAAGGAGACAGCGGATCCTTTTCTTTGACCTTACACAAAAATTAACTTCAAATAGGCCTTAGTGTAAGACCTAATTCTCTGAAACTTATGAAAAAGAAAGTGAAGAATGCCTTAAGAATGGGAGGCAGAGCATTAATACCCAGAATAAAGAACTCAAAAGCTAAACAAGAAAAGAATTCTTTAAAAAATGAACTAAAGGGCTGAACATGAGTTTTCAAGAAAGTGAGATGAGCAGTCAGTGAATACATCTAGAGGTTTTAAACATACTTGGATAGCAGGGAAATGCAGCTAAAACTACTTTGAAATTTCTTATCAGTATGATCGCCATGAATAAAACCAATGCCAACAAGTACTGGTGAGGATGGGGAAAGAAGAGCCCATATGCTCTCACTGTTTGTGTGATTAGAGCAGCCACTAAAAAAATCAGCACAGAGCTTCCTCAAAGAGCTAAACAGAGCGACCATGCAACTCCTGGGCCTATTCCTACAGGACTCTACGTATTCATAATATCAAGGAAATGGAATCGGCCTGGATGACCATTGAGAGATAGGTTGCCAGAACTATGAAATTCCCAGTTCCTCTTGTGTCACTTTCGACGGCAGTGCTCTGGTACAGAGGCCACACTACCACTGACATAGAAGTTGAGAGTCACAATCATTCCCCTAGGGTTTTCGGTGTAAACAAATAGCCAAACACCAGAGCCTGGCTTCCCTTTGGTGGTGTGTGAAAATCCTGAATCAAGTTCATGTTTCAGTGAGTTGAACTTTCTACCTCCTCCTTCTTGTTTTCAGTGACACCTGCTTCCTTTTTATTTTTTTCATGGTATGTCTTCTTTTAACATGCAGTTTTTCTTTCATCTTTAATAAATGGTAAATTTTTAGTCTTTCTTTTCATTTTTAATTGTTTTCTTTTTTTATTGTGCTATATATTTTTCTCTGCTCCCCTCCCTTCCTCCCTGTCCCCCTCTACCCTGTCCTATTCTTCCTTTTAAATGAGCACTCCAACCCAGATCACTTGTCAAGGGGCTCAGGTTTCAGGTCCCGACACAGGAGACTTCCTTGGCACTGGGCCCATGTATCCCCCTGGAAAACGCTGCCTTCTCGCCACTTGCTCATGAAGATTAGGAGTAATTTGCTTTAAAACGGAAACAATAAACCACAAAGCACATTAAAATTTTAGGGAGCATATTTGAACCTTCATGAACTGGGTTCACTTGGAGAGACTGATGGGAAATATAGAAAGTGTCTGCAGAATCCAAATTTTTTTTAAAAAAAATTAGTTTCCCGGGGTTAGAGTGGAAAGTTCTACTTAGAGGTTAATTAACAACTAATAAAATTCCAGGTTGTTGCTTATTGGGGAGGAGTGAGTTCTCGGTCTAGGCCCTAACTACCTTCACCTGAATGGCCTGGGTCCTGGAACCGAGATTGGGGACTGCAAGGGAATGAAGAAAGGACAGAAATACAGACACATGTTCATAAAAGCTGGTGTCCAGTAGGGTATGGGTACTCTGATGGAACCATACCAGCTACCATGGCAACCCAGAACCTCAGCATCTTTATCATGTACAGCACAGGGAGAGGGTTGGCTAGTGTAGGTATGAGATCTCTGCAGGCAAGCAGTCTCAGGCTGCAATTCCCTGGCAGGAAGAAGCTGCCATTGTTTGTTTTTGTACACAGTGGTCTTATGTCACACACAAGCCCAGGAGGAAAGCTTTGCCGTTCCTCTAAGCCTCATCCAGGTAAAGCTTTTCCCCTATCA